CGGTTTCCATCTGCCTTTCTGTTTAAGGAACCTGCGCTACGGCCTCTACCACTCACTCTTAGAGTGGTTCCATCCACTCTACCAACTGGATAAGAAAAATGGCTTCAAAACTCAGAATTTTGTCAATGTAAAAACAGCTCCAGAGCTGTACCACCTTGTTAACAGGTATGTTAACATACAGAAACAGAAATGTTTTCGGCCTTGTGACTTTATCAATGAAATCAGAGCTCCTGTAGGAGGCTGTTAGAGGAGGAGGGACCAGGCCCAGTGGCCTCTCAGAGGGCTGAGGCAGGAGGATCACAAGTTGGAGGTGAGCCTCAATAACTTAGTGAGACCCTGCTTCTCAGGGCTGAGGATGTCGCTTAGTTTTAGAGCCCTCCCAGGTTCAGTCCCCAGTACTGCAAACATTTTTTAGAAAGGAGGAATGAGGGCAGGTATGAAAAAAATCTAGAAAATTTCAAACAGTAAAAGTGGTGGCTATGGTTGTATTATTAGGGCAAAATACACTTTTCTTCCTACTTTTTGAAACTTCTGTAATGTGATTATATTGTCTTTATAAATTGAAACAATCTCCCAAAATCCAGAGTGGGAGTAAGTCAGGACTTCTCTTTCCTCCTTGCTTTCCATTTTCATTACATTAAGGACCTTGGAGAGGGGGTGAGTGGTCTAACAAATTGGGTATTATTGTCCTTTAGAAGCCTTCAACAGGTCACCCTGCTGGGTCTCAGATTCTCAGTAAGGTAGTGATAATAATTCCTTCTATGTAGGACTTAAGAATAATACATTGAATACATCCGTCACTGTGCCTGGGACTGAGTAAAGGTTACTGAGCTCATCATTCTTTGTGCTGGGTGTAGTGACACGTACCTGTAATCCCAGCGATTTGGGAAGTGTAGACAAGAGGATCACAAGTTCAAGACCAGTTTCAGCAACTTAGCAAAGTCCTGTCTCATAAATAAAATAAGTAAAAAGGGGCTGGGAGTATAACTCCATGGTTAAGCACCCCTGAGTTCAATCCCCAGTACCCAAAAAAGAGAAAAGAAGAGAAAAAGGGCTGGGGGTTTAGCTCAGTGGTGGAGTGTTCTTGGTTTCAATTCCTAGTGCCACAAATACAAAAAAAATTAAAAGTTGGGGCTATAACTCTGTATAGAGTTCTTGCCTTGTATGTGCAAGGCCTTGGCTTCAGTCTGCAGAACTGCAAATGAGAAAGAGAGAGAGAGAGGGAGAGAGAGGCCCCTTCCACTTCAGAATTTGCCACTAGTCTTCACCGTGTTTATCCCCAGTTGCCCTTATTGTACCTGGGGCCATCATACCAGATGGTAGACCCTTGAACTTAAGGGGCAGCCCACTCTGTCTGAACTCTATTTCAGAACCATGACAATAACAACATGTCTTGGGTCTGATTCTACCCTGAGAACTTCTCTAAGGAAACAGTATCATTGTAGGAGGCCTAGAGAGGGCCTGTCCAGAGACAGATCTGGACATTACTAATCTTGTATGGCCTTGAATAAACTATGCAATTTTTCTAGAACTCAGATTTTTTATCTGTGAAATGGAGTTAATACACCACAGAGTCATGAGAACTAATAGAATTAGTGAGTATAAGCTGCCTAGTACAATTTTTTTTTTTTTTTTTTTTTTGTACTGGGGATCGAACCCAGGGACACTATCATTGAGCTACATCCTTAGCCCTTTGTATTTTTTACTTTAAGACAGGGA